ACCTGATATAATATAATTAATTACATCCTTATAGAATACTTTATAATATTGTCTACGCGAATTTTTAGAAAATTTCATAATGAATAATAATTGAATGTTCTGTGTTGTCAAATTATGCACTTGAAATAAACATAAATTTTGTATGTATCCATAGTTATATTGTATAAAACCTACGGTAAAAATTTTATATAAGGAGTTCTTAGTAAGAAAAAAGATTAATCATCAGAAATCTCAAAAAAATTAAAATATATACATAGAAACAAGAAAAAAGATTAACAGTCCCATTAATCATCAGAAATCTCAAAAAAATTAAAATATATACATAGAAATATACTGTAAAAATTTTTTATAAGAAGTTCTTAGTAAGAAAAAAGATAAACAGTCCCATTAATCATCAGAAATCTCAAAAAAATTATAAAATATACATAAAAACATACGGTAAAAAAATTATATAAGGAGTTCTTACTATGAAAAAGGATTAACAGTCCCATTAATTATCAGAAATCACAAAAAAATTAAAATATATGCATAATCTCAGGAACGAATAATTTGATATACCCCTTTACCCTCAAATTTATTTTTATTTCCTACCCAGCTACAAGCCTCATGAAATTATATTCAGAAAACGATGCAAGTAAATGGCTCCTAGTTCTACAACTCTTGGTTATTTTTTTTAGAATAAATATTACAAAAAAAAATCTATATTTTTTTTATTAAATAGATAAGGTATATCATGCATAAAATAAAATTGTTTTAATATCATGTAATATAAATTATTTAAAAAAAATATATATATTATTTTACTATAGATTCATTAAATATATTAATTATATTATATTAATTATCTAAATTTCTTTATATCACATTAATTTAATATTAATTATATAAAATAATTATATTATATTAATTATATAAATTTCTTTATATAACATTAAAATTGCTTTAAAAATTATATTATAATTATATTAAATATTAGAATTATATTTATATTATAATTATATTAATTATTAGAATTATATTAAATATTAGAATTATATATATACTAAAATTATTAATATTAGAATTGTACATTTTCTTAAATTTATATTATTAAATTTTTAATTACATAAATTACTTTAAATAATAAAATCTGTCTAATCTGTAAAAGTTAAATTTTTAATATTTTTAATTTCTCGCTTCAAACCTATAGGGGCCATTTTGACAGCCATTTTAGCTTATTTGCTTTTTTAACATTTTTTAAGTAATAGCGGCCCATATAACCCATTAAATCATCACAACATTATATTGGGGAAATTTTTTTTTTAAAATATTTTTTATTCAATTCCTCAAATTTTACTTTCACTATAATTTTAAATGAAATAAATCGAATATAATAATTTTATGCAGGCGCGTAAGCAGGAATTTGGTCGGGGGGGGGGGGGGGGGGGGGGGTAATAAAAATTATTAAGAAATATTATTGTTTTTTAAAAATATCAAGCATAAATTTATTAGGACTAATAACTATTTCTAATACACAATTTTAAATTTATGTGAATTATAAAAAAAAATTATGTAAAGAATCACTTAAATGACTCAAAATAGAAATTTGAATTTTTTGAGCCTTTACACAAAAAGTTTCTTAGGAATAATTGCATTTTGTATGTTATATATTTACAATGTAAAATCCAATCTTCGTTGTGATTGAGCTAATTTTTCAATTATCTCATCCTTGCTTGTCGTCAAATGCCTATGAATATTCAAAAAATCCAAACCTTTCGACCTACTTTCAGATGTTGTACTTCTTGGTATGTTTTTCAGAGACCTCCAGGCTCGGCCCCCGGGCTGGACAGTATTTTAATTTTTTAAATATACCCGGGCCGGGCCCAAAATTTTTTTAAAAAACCACCCAAGCCGGGCCTGAATTATTTAAAAAAAACATCCAATCCGCGCTGTATTTTTTAAAACAGCCTATATTTGAAATCGTTTATATTAGCTATAAAAATCAAAAATAAATATAATTTATTTTAAAAAAATCCGGGCCGGGCCTGAAAATTTTGTTTTTAAAAAAGCCGGGCCGGGCCTGAAAATTTTTTAAAAAAAGCCGAGTCGGGCCTAAAATTTTTTAAAAAAAAGCCGGGCCGGGCCTGAAAATTTAAAAAAAAAAACAAGGCCGGGCCGTAAAAAATCTTTAAAAAAAATCCGGGCCGTGCCCTGCAAATGGTACTTCTGCATGCCTCTGTTATTCTTCTTAAAAAAGAAAATGTTCTCTCATTAGTTTACTAATGGAAAGAGTTTATAAACCCTTTTAAAACATTGGGAATTTAATCTAAAATGTGTTTGAAATAATGCAGAGCATCCATAGCATTTTTTGGGACTATATCGACCATAGTTAATCTTATAAACATAGTTATTCAGAGTAAGGCATCATAAGATACTTTAACATCTTCATAATAAAAATTTAACAAATTTTTTTTTCTATCACCATCTGAAAAAGGTTGGGAAGGCTTTTGTGGAAGTAATATTTGCAGATTAGTAAGTGCTGCATGATGAATTAAAAATTCATTTATTTGGGTTATAAATGTATCTGTATATAAGATATACTCTTCTACTGATCCTATATTAATGTATTAACGATGAGCTTGCCTTACTACAAGTCGAGGGAGACAAATATTAAACACGTATAGCTCTGTTTTTGACTCAACAATAAAATATGAAATTCTTCATCAACATTACCCCTAATTTCCTTGAGTTCTGATAAAATGCTCTCCACTATTCTCATCTTCTTAATCAAGTCAATGTCATGTTTTTGAAAAGTAATACTTAAAATAGTTGTATAATTAAATAATACATTCTAATGAGAAATAAAATTTGGAATAAGCATTGAATCCAATAATTTTCTTGCTTCTGAAGAAATATTTCTTTCAGGCCATTGTGATATTTCAGTATTAGCAAATAATTGGCTCTTCTAACTCCATAAAAGCTGTTACTGCTTGATGAGACTCTATCTCGTTGGACAAGGTTGCAATTTCTTTTTCTCTGTTGGACAAGAAATTTCAGAAATAATTATTATTTGACTAGAAATTTGAAAATGGTAGATAAATATTACACCGCTAAAAATTTGAAAATATTAAGTAAATATTACGCCGGAAAACTTGAAATCGAAATTAATTGATAAAATAACTTAGCAGATAAATGTGATAATAAATGTAATTAAATATATATTTAATATGAGATACGAATAATTATAAACAATAATATTTTTGAAAAATATATCCGGCATCTGCATTTTTTGGCTTTGGGGGGGGGCGGATTTGTCCCCCTGCCCCCCCCCCGTTGCGTACGCTATATGGCGTCAAACATATAAAACAAAAAATATAAATAAATTAAATTTAGTATTTTTGTTTATTATATTTACATTTTTTTTAAAAAAATGAAATATATTAAAAATAAATGTTAAAGGTATAGTTATTAATCGCTAAAAATTTGGAATCGTGTTATAAGAGAATATTTTCCTTTTAGCCCTGAGTTCGAAAATATTTAAATTTAAGGCTAATCGTCCTTTTCTTGATCCCAGAAAATTTTTAATTTATCTTTTATTTAGAAAACAGTGATTTTTCGTATCGTTTCAAAAGTCATATAGCTAGAAATAATCGCTCGGTTAATCATCATAATAACTCATTTTAGACATATTTTTTGGTATTTTTAAATTCTAGGTGGACCCGATTAAAAATTTAACCCAAAGCCTAGTTGCTTACAGGGCTTTACTCTAACTCCAGAAAACGCCCTTGCATTTTGCTGTTTCTTTACTTTTGGTAAATAATTTTTATTTGAACTATTTGGAAAAACATTGATCTGAACCCCGCGTCTGGATCTCGGGTCTAACCCCATTTCTGGATCTCGGGTCTAACCCCATTTCTGGACCCCGAATCTGAACCTCAGGTCTGTGCTCGGGGTTCGTGCTCAGAGCTTGTTTAGTCCATTTTTAAACCCAAATCCCTGGTCTGGGTTTTACATAGCTAACCAATTAACAACACTACCATAGAGATAGTAAGCTTTCGTTTCAATATACTTAACCTACTTATAGGGATAAAAACATGCAATATTTACTTATAATAGCAGATCAATCAAATAACTTTATCTAAATGCAGAAATATTTATCATAACAAGTTAGCATTATCCCTATTTTTTATTCAAGAGTGCATCAACAATTTCTCGTTTCTTAGCATTCATTAAACCCACATTAATGCTTAACATCCATAGTTTCAACTTACATCATCCATTTCCGCACCCATTAAATTAAGTTAGAGTCTCCCTCTACGCACATCTATTGTAATAATAACTTTAAATTGTATTTCTTATATTAACCTGCAGGTTTCTTAGCCAATTTCTTCTCATTCGTACAATTTATAAATGATTATTTGCATATTATATCACTATTTTTCAAACAATAAGTCTACTAAAAATGGTTTTGTTATAATTTAACAACATTTTATATTATACAAACATTATTATTCACACATTTTGTCTCATAGTGCTTTTATGTAACATTTCTCTTAAATTTATTTATCATTTAATTTGCTCATTTGCTATTACATACTCATTCCCATTTCCTATTTCAATTGTTCATTCATTCATATGCTATTAAATTTGCGCTTACTTGCGCCAAACAATGTTATAGGCGATATGACCGATCTGTGCTTATTTAAGCCAATAAGCAAAAGAGGTGATTTTCACTTTTGACCTTAAATTTGTGCATGTTTATACCAAGAGATAATAGGCTGATCCCCTGTATATAGTGTTTTAGTCTTTTATACTGTAATCATAATTAACAAATCGGCTTGTCTTTTTTCTTTTCCGGTTACGATATAAATATTTAAATATTTTTTTGATGCTTTTCATAGATTTGTTTTTTACAAGTGCGGGAAAATTTATGAAATCGTGACTGTATTCTGATATTGTAGAACTTAAAATTTTGAAATATTCACCCTTACTTTTTTTTCCATTCAAAAAATAAAATAAAGTTGCAGGAAAAATCATGGTCACTGAAACTTCGCGAAACGGAACTAATGGAACGCCTGGCGGAGGCTGAGGAATCCGCTTCCCGATTGGCTACACAAAAGCAAGAGAATATTTTGAACGCGTCTCTCGTAGAGGTCCCATGCGAAAATCCGAACGGATCGGTCACTAACTCGGAACACGAAGAGCGGGAAGAGGAGGTGGGGTCGGACGATCCTGGATCTAATCATCCCATCGACACTATTTCATTGGCTAAAACGACCGTAAAAATTTTTTTAAAATATATTTCTGAATTAATATGCTGCTTGCGCATGCTCAAAACTACGAAAAATTGGTTATTAGACGATTATATATTTTAGAAATTAATTGGTATAACAAAAAAGGAGATGATATAAATTGCAGAAGGCTCGAAGAACAATTTTTACGAATATCTGAATGAATTTCGTTTATACGAATATTAATTTGAACCCCATAATATTCGAAAAATTTAAAAAATTTTAATCCACCATTATAAAATCAAAAATATGAATAGCCACTAAGTTGACATAAGATAAAATATACTCCAAAATATTTTTTTATTCATTTTATGATAAAAAAAAACATATATTAAGTGCTGCATGATTAATCAAGAACCTTTCACATTTGTATTAAATCATCCAATATGAAGATAAAGAGATTTATTTTATAGTATTCATCGACTGACCCTATATTATTGGAATTATGAGCCTATCTTGCTAGTCAAGGTAAACAAATATTAAAATTCATAGAACTCTGCTTTTAATCCAACAGTGACATATAATTTATGAAATTCGTCATCTACATTCGCCCTCATTTTCTTAAGTTTCAATATAATACCTTCAGCTATACTCATATTCTCAATCCAAATCGATGTCATTTTTTTGAATTATTTAACTTTCGTTTTGTAGTTAAAAGGTTTCAAATGATTTAATGGAAAATTTTAAAATGGTAGATAAATAAGACGCCAAGGGTAATTTAAAATCGATATTATTAGTACGTATTTATTTCTGCTGTGAATATGATAAATAAATGTAAAGCGATGATTATTATAAAATATAAATTAATAATCATAAAACTAATTTGAAAAATATTTTAGCTGGCATCCAAATTTTTTGGCTTTCACGAATGGGGGGGGGGGGGCTCTGTATTCGCCCATGATAAACATTACTATAATTTTATATTTTTGTATTTGTTTGAATATTTTTAAATACGAATAAATAAAAAACAGACGATAAAACTTTTTTTTACAAATTATAAATAAAATTTTAAGTAAATCCGTAATAATTTATTTAAATATTAAATTTGTGACACGAGTTAGCGAAAAAGTTAACTTTGCATCATTTGCCATTTTTGAAAATTCTATATTTGTATTTTAAATATAAACATTCCTGTTATTGCCCAATCCGAAGCCACCCAAAGTTTTTTCCTGTAAGTTCCCAGTCCGGTCTGGAATAAAATTTTCGATCCTCACTCCAACCGAATTATGACATTATTTCAATTTGAACTAACAAAATTGATATATAACAGCATGTTCAGTGTTCTAAGAATTTCAAACAACCTAACCTCTATAATAAATTTCATTACATTCACTATTCCTTAACGGATCTTTTTTTAAATAATTACAAATACACAAATGTGATATACCAATTATTTAATCCATACATACTCCAGGAATAATATTAATAGAATTGTATTTAAATGTAGAATGATGAGTATTGATAATATTTATATGAAATGACAGCAAAAGGAAGTTATAATTTGAAAGCACGAGAAAAGTATAATTTGAAGGTACATTTTTAGAAAAATTAATATATTTAGAAAAATTAAAGCCCTGGCCTAAAAATTATGTCCATTCGGTCCAGTCAAAAAATTAAAATGAGGTCGACCTGACTCGGACAGGCCCAATTCAACTCTCTAGTTCTTGGTAAATCAAAAGGAAGGCCAGGGCGTAAGAATAAATTAGAAAATTTTTATAAAAATATATGACGGAAATTTTAATAATAACAAATTAACTAACTATAAATCACAAAATTTTATATGGATAATATTATTCGAGAATTTTTTTTACCATTCGAATAATTAATATTAAATCATTCAAATACGCAAAAATAAATTGGAATATTTATTAGGAACACTTCCTAATTATCCTATAATCATAAAAAAAACCTATTTTATTTTTTTCTGTCATTCTTTAGCCGAGGGAGAGAGAGAGAGAGAGAGGAAATATAATAAAAATATGTTCGGTTTAAAACCAATTGAAACTGTTACAATTGTTTTAAACTAAATTTCATAGGGTGGTGGGATAGAATTCACGGATACTGATTCATCTTCCCTTATATCTTTGGAAGAATCTATGCAAAAAATTAAACATTCATAAAGGTAAATCATAATTTGTGTAAATATTATTTATGTTATATGGTTTTAAAAAATATTGTTATGATCAAGGCTGTGAATCTGAAACTTTGGAACTCTTGATATTTTATTGGACATCCTTTTTTTAAATATTAAGTTTTATATTAAAAATAACATGGAAAACTATATTAAAATTAAATATAAAAAAACGTAAATTATTTAAAACAAATTTTTCTTTTCAATATAAATTTTTTTTTGCAAAAATCATTTGTGTCCTTTTTATTTTCAGAGTTTTCCATTTTTAAAAATTTTCTCAGCATATTTTATAAGTTTTTTTTATAGGAATATTTATTGTTGTTTTTTGGATTAAATTATAGGACCAAAGAAAAGAACAAAATCATAAAGTAAAATAGCTTTATTAAATGCCAGTTGTGCTGTAGTATCAAAGTTAGAAAAAAATGGATTTTAATTCAACATCTCGATTTTGTAAGATAAATTCGAATAAAATTTAAATAAAAACAAATGGAATGTTATTTTTTAAATTGTATTGTATTTAATTATAAATTTTTTTATGGTAAAAAAAAATGATGGTTCTTCTATTTACCAAATTTTATGAGTCTTTATTTTTCTTGACCACGAAAACTCGAACCATTTTTTTAGAAGGAGGGTTCACAGCCCTGGTTATAATCACAATAAGTTTTGCCAATTTATTGTTTTATCACCTGAGAGTTGACTAAGGAAAATAGAAGTGAACTGGTGGGTGTATATTATATCGTTCCTTTGAGTTAGTTTTATTTTCTCTTTTATCCAAATTTTGAGATAATCGATGTTCTCAAAAGTATAAAATTGATAAATTATCAAGAAAGATTAATTTTATTATAAAAATATTAAAGCTTCATTCTCTTCTATAGCAAATGGCAGATCGTAGATTTTTAACGCTTATCTCGGTGTATTATACGTCGTGAAAATGGTTCTAGATTCCAAATTATTTAATATGCAACAAAAAACACAACTTTAATAATAATATATTTGTATATTTAAAAAATATATATATAATGAATTTGTTAAACATTTATATAAATAATATTACTATTTTACTATTTGTTTAAAAAATGTATTTTTTTTTCAAATTTTTCTAGATTATACATTTACATTGTTATATAATCTAAATTTTTAACTCATCTTCGATTGTTCAAGACTCTTCTTTTAATTTAAAATATACCTATTTTATTATACTCCATAATATACCTATTTTTAAATTTATTTACCAAAAAAAACCGGTTTTTAATTATTAAATTTAATAACTATTTTTTAATTGATTTATTATTTTAGAGAATTTTATTTATATTTTTAAAAAATTTTTTGTCCCATAATTTAATTTAGCTAACTTAGTACGTTCAAATTAAAATCATCTTGAAAATATATCGATATTCAAAAAAATATCCTTGATAAATATTATCATTTATTCGAATACGTTATTGTTTTGACAAGTTTAAGATGGTTTAAAATGATTAAGGTCTCATAATGATTCTATAATATAATATTGTAATACTACTTATATTATAATATCCATAATCGGAAAAAATTTATTATGCAATTCGCTCAACCTGAGACTGTTATATAATTATTATTCGTAATTTATACATATATTGTTTTACTTTCTTTTTATGAATATTTTGTTAAATTTCTCAATAATATTATAAAAATAATCATTTTTATAGACAGATTTAAATATAGCATAAATGTGGAGTTACACTTAAAAAGAATTTCGAAAATGACATCTATTCGGGTCAGATAAAAACTTTATCGAGTATGGCCTTAATTTTATACAGTTTTCCTTGCAAAAAAATAAAGCTGGATTGGTCTCAATACAGGATTTTAAATATAATGATTTGTATGTAGGCTATTGTTATGAAATGCAAATTTTTTTGAAGCTAACCCTACCAGTCAATTATTGTTGGGACCAAGATTTTTAACTTAGACAGTTGCTTAATTTATCAAGGCTTTTTACTTTAAAAAAAATTTAACTCTGTTATAATCTTAGTTTAGCTAAAAAGTTAAATTATGTTCAACCATTCAATGGCCCCTATAACGGTGGGGTTACGAAGCACCTGCCTCTTAAAAGATGGTACTATTTTTTTTTATTATTGTACCCTTATTATGATGAGACTACTTTTAAAAAAATTTAATTTATTGTGAAGGCATGTATAAATGACAATATACCAGTCGTTATATTATTGTACATTAATTTTCACAGGCATATAGTCTGATTATCGAAAACTTATAACAAAAATTCGATATTAAAATATCTAATACCCACCAAAAATGTGTTAATGATGATCGCTCAATCATAAAAATAATTTCGATTTCTCATAACCAAGCAATGGCGTAGCTAGGAATTTTTCTTAGAATGGGTCCATACATATAAAAGCCTGGGGGCTTCGCCCCCAGACCCCTTTAATGGGCCTTCGGCCGGGTTAATCTTACAAATCATAACCATATCTTCTATAATATATAATAAATATATTTTTTAAATGTATCAATAATGTTATTATAATTTAGTAGATTATTCTCAATGACTTTATAATAATACTATCCAGAATAATTTCAATAGTAATATAATATCCTTCCACAAACATCAAAACCAGAAAAATATAAATATTAATGGCATTTATTTAATATATAGTCACTTTTAAGTCTTTTGAACATATAATCTAGAAAAAAGATTTAGCTCTGGGAGGGGTCCAAACCCGAAAACCACCCCCGTAGCTACGCCACTGTAACCAAGCAAGGGGAACATGCAACAAGAGAGCAAAATTATGGGTCTTATAAAATTTATTGCAGATTCTGAACCTGTTCTCAAACTTAATATACATAAAAATGAAGAAAAAAGGGATAAAAAAAGAAATTGAACTTTATTCCAATCTGTTGTATAATAATAGAAATGTTTTTTGAAACCGTGAAAAATATTTAAAAAGAAATTGAATCTAACAGATATTTCTCAATTATAGTTGATGGTACATATGATGTTTCTAAATCAGAAGCAATAGTTTTGTTAGTATGATACAGCCAAAGGGCTATAATAAGGGGACCTAAAGATCTCCAAAAAATTTAAGGGGAAATATTTACATAATAGTGCCCCCCCCCCTAACAAAATCCTGGATATACCTATGCTATAATATATTGAGAATAGCGAAAGGTCTAAGCCGGTTGAAATATTAATAGATATATATTGTATGGGAAAACACGATTGGACTTGATAATAAAAAAATATATGCAAACTTTATTCCATGAATCTATCCTCTCGAATTCTTAGTAGGGTTAAGCTATGATGGTGCTTCAAGCATGATTAAAAGGATAAATAGTTTACAGGCTTTGGTTAGAATTGAGGCTCCACTGGTAGCTTTTATATGGTGTTATTGTCATTGATTAAATTTAACCATTGTTTAATTATGGAATTGGTAAAAGAACTAAGAAATGTTTTAGGGAACTTATACGATATTCATGCATGTTTCAATGGTGTTAAAAGTTATCCAGCACTCAAAGCATGTCAATGTTACAGACAAAATCGCAACAATTTTTACGTATCAAGAAAACCAGTCGGTAATATTATCTTTGTTTAGATTTAAAATGTTTATCTTATTTTTAGAAGCGCCTATTATTATATAAAGCTATTGTAAAAAAATTATACTTAATGCCATGAAGGCAGCTTTGCCAATTTTATAGTCTCATAAAACGAATAAAAAGAACAACGTTCCATTGTAATGTGAATTCTAATTTAAATTATATATTTTATTTGAATTTAAAAGTATTGCCTCTGATGGAACTATTTATCTTATTCTTATAAACATAAATTAATCAATTTTTACAATAATCAATGAATGATCTGCTTAGAATACAACAATTATAGCTATAGTTTTAGAATATAAACATTTTATTTTTTTTATGATTTTGTGTTTTGGATAAATTATTGATAACAAGATTTGTATAAAATTAGGGTTTGCAATAAAGAAAATTCGCTTGGCAAAGGCGTTCCTGATTGATTTGAAAAGTATACCTTGTATCATTTTTTAATCATATTAGATCATGGCACTGAATTTATGAATTTTTTTTCAGAGGCATAAGATTTTATGAAGGGGAAAATTCTATCTCTTGATTTTGAAAATTCTAGGCTTCAAACATCAGAATTCAAAAAGGAAAGGCATATATATTTTCATTATTAAATATAATATTCTATTTTCGCTTTAAAAACAGTGTTTTAATCTGCCCTTGATCTGATAATGCGTTTTGGGAATGGTGGAAAAGAAATTGTTAAAGATGATAATGAATTTTACCATTTGAGTCAAGCTTTTGAAGAAATATCTAAGTTTCGAAATATTGATATGATGGCTAAATAGAGGGATGTAATTATTATGCATAACCTAAAGGTTAAGATTGTCAGATAGCTTCTTCTGATGATTATGAGTTTATAATTCAGACTGGAAAAACTATTCATTGATTTTACCTTATCGTTTCTAAATTTCTGTTTTACCTAATTTTTTAATTTTATTAAATATTTGTTGGGTATTCCCACTAGCTCATGTACTGTTGAATCGGTTATGAGTAAAATCAAATTAATTTAAAAAAATCTTCGTAGTACCGTGAAAGATCATTTTCTTATCAATTTAACCATTTTTGGGACAGAAATATAACAATCAAATATTGAAGAAATTATAAATTCTTTCGCTTCCCCTTAATTTGTCTGAATTATTAATTTAAAAAAATATTTTTACATTATATATTTAAGATTAATGCAATAATAATTATTTTTTAAATTTATAATTGAAATTAGTCAAAGAAATTAACTGCATTTTTTGGGAAGGTATTTTTCGGGGGGGGGGGCGTATTCTGTTTCCATTGCTCATTAAATTCATTAAAATCATTAGTAAAATTATGTATGTATGCGTAACAAAATAAGAATAAATAAAATTATTATAAAATGGTTGTATATAAAATAAGAATAAAAAATGTATTTATAAAATAAAAGAGTATCTATGTTGTTTTTATTTGCATCCATTTGATAATGACTTCTGAAAATTGTGAACAGTTCCTTTAAAAACATTAAATCTTTTAGCACATTCTCTTTGTATGATGATTTAGAAATTTAATGATCTAATTTTTTTTTAATTAACAATACCTCGTTATATTTATTTTCTTATGACATGAATAATTTTACAAAGATGATAAAATTTTATATTATAAATGAAGGAATGGAACAAATGCCCATAAGGCCCATCATAGGTGATTTCTCGTAAAAAGGGGGGAAATATTTAACCTTTTTATTTTTTTAACTAATATCGAATTAAATTAAAATCATAATATAATATAAATGAAATGAAATGACTATAAATAACAATTTTTTTTTATATAATAGTGATTAGAAATTCATCAGCGACTATTAAAACGTGAATGTATTGTAAATATTTTTCTTTTACAAATTATTTCAAAAAAAAATGACAAAGATATAGAATTAGTACATACTTAATAAATTTTGATTTGATTTTGTCTTTTCTTTTAAAAAAAATAATGAAATTTTGATTTTTTTTTTAACATAAATAATAACATTTTTTACAATATATACAAATTTTTTTTATAACAAATAAAAGTTTAACAATATATTTTTTAAAAAATACTAATTTATTCATAAAAAGTTGTACATGATACAATTCCGCTGAACCAAAATATAATGAATTATAATAATTATTATAGAGGTAAGTTCAAACTCAAAGAATATCTGCTGCACAATTCAATCAAAACGAACCGTAAATTAATTTAATATATTTCTATTTTAAAAAAAAACTATTTCAATTCTAACACAATAAAATTAAATAAAAGCATGCACATAGTTATATATATATATATAGGCAAAAAGCTCCCTCTTAGATTGAGAGTTAAAAAGGTAACGAAATATTTTTTTTTAAAAAAATGAAGAGGGGAGGAGTAGAAATTGGATCACTTTATTGAAATTTTGTTGAAATTGCCGAATAATTTCAATAAATCTAATATCGATTACTAAGATCTCCCTTTGACTAGGTATGTGGCAACCTGACCTTTGCCTTTAGCGTAAACCTCGCCCCTATATTCGAAATCGAAATAGTCCTGAAGAATTGGAACAACGTGAGCTGGTACCTGGAGAGCATAGAAAGTAAAAAAAAAATCAAGCAAAGAAAAAGTAACGCCAATAATTTTAAATTTTAAAATGTGGAAAAACAAGCTTAACATTATTTTAATTACAAAGATCCCTAGGACTAGGGATCAGAGATCTATCCCTACATGGCCCAAAAGCACGGACCGCAATAAAAAAAGATAAAGGCTGTGCAACCTAGACAAAATATATTTTTTTAAATTTTGAAAAATGCGGATTCATGATTTTGCCTTTTACAAATTATTAAAGAAATATTTAACAGTTATAATTGATTCGATTTTAAATAGTTGTCGTAACTGTACAATTATAAATAATGAGGGTAGGGCGTCAAACCGAAGCCGTAATGATCCGTTATAATAAAATCTCAGAAGGAGTTAACCGAATAGTAGAAATACTTTCTAGATTATCCTCAGAAATACAATGCATTTTGACTATAAAAGGTTCTAATTTTAGATAGTATATAATAAATATTTCGCATCAAAAAAAATTAGATTCATATTGCTTTATTGCGCATTATGTATTTGAGTTCACATACCTTAAAACTTAAAAATTTAATACTATTAAAGGGTATAACAATATAATTTTATATAATTATTATTATAACTTCTTGTCCCTTGAAAAAATCAACAGGAAAAATCATATTATTTAGAAAATACAGATATTAAAAAATTTTTAACTACGTATTTTAGAATTGTAATATCGACAACTCTCTTTCATTTTTGAGAAAATTAACTATAAAAATATGTTAATCGAATAATCCATACTAGAGGTGGGCGCGGGCCGTGAAATTAGGCGTGACCCATCGTGTCACGGTGAGTCACGGCGTGAGTGTGAATAAATTTTAAATTCCAAGGCGTGACTGGGCGTGACGGGCCTTCCCAAAATTTTCCCCGGGCGTGATCGGGCGTGAACATAAATTTCCCGTGAATCACGAAAATTTTAATTTTTAAAATTGTTTTTTATAAATATAAATTTGCAATTTTATATTTATATTATATATTTTCTTATTTAATTTAGTTCTTTTTAAAAAAAAAAAAACTAAAAATCTTCCGCATTTTATAAACAACATCCGGTATCATTTTGTAGGTTCTATTTTCTTTTTATGTTTAGGTGTTTTTTATGGCGAGACTTTATGCTAAATTTTGCCTAAACTTTTTACAGAAAAGTCAGTTATATTTTATTTGTAAAGATCTTCAATCTTTAAATGCAACAGAAAGTGAAGGATTTTCTAGGCCAAGAGATAAATGTTGGTGTTACATATAGATAACAAAATATAAAAGTTGTGAACCGGAAAACTCTCATGAATACTATAGGTCCAAAAATATACCATGAAATAAAATTTAAGATTAAAAGCATGATCATTGTCCATAATCACTGATATTTGGACGGATGACTATAAAAATCTAAGTTTTTTAACCATTATAGGACATATTATCATTAAGGATTTTAATTAAAAACATTTGTTTTGGCCACAACAAGGGCAATGGATGAAAAAAACGTCAAAATTAAAAGTGTAGTCAATTCAATTTTAGGAGATTATACAGAAGTAGAAAATTACTTAAATAAATGTATAGTTGTGAGTGATAACGGAGCAAATCTTGTAAATGCATTCAAAGATGACGAAACGCTAGCATGTATATGCCATATACTAAATAATATTATGCATTAAATTTTTGACAATTGTTTAACTGAAATAGCCTTAAATATAAATGGTGTAAAAAAAATGGTACAATATTTCAAACACAGCTAATAGCAAACTAAGCCACACCCTTAAACAATATGTAATAGCGAGAAAGATGGAACTCTGTATATATCATAATACAGAGTTTCTTAAAATCATATTCTGAAATACAGGTGTACTTGTTTAGCAAGCAAGAATTAAATAGATTAGCCACAATTGATATCAGCATCATATGCGAGTTAGATAAATTTTTATAAATATTTAAAGAATGCTCGGATAATCTGAGAGCAGATTCTCGTCCCACAATAAATAAAGTTTGTCTATGGAAACAAAAATTAATAAAATTTTGTTAACCTTCTGAACGTGATACAATAATAATCAAAACCTTAAAATACAGAACAAGATTTCATTTAAAAGATTATTATGCAGCCACTATAGTAGGCTTAATTCTAGATCCGAATTTCAAAAGACTTAGTTTTTAATAAAAGAAGAAAATGATATATATAAAACAATCTTAAAAATGCTAAATGATATAAAATTAGATGATATGCATAAGTCGATGCCAACTATCCTAACTTATCCTAAACTCATAAAAAACCGTATATTCTAAATGATCAATACCAACTATCACTTTCCTAATTCATCCTAGACTCATAAAAGACCATATATTTCTAGATGATTCTGATGAAGCATCAACATCACCCATGAAAGCTGTAAGGATGAACTTAAAAGATTCATATAAGATAAATAACAAGACAATATTTTGAAGTTTTGGAATGAGAAAATTATCGAGTAAAATTTTGTCAGCTGCAAGTTCGGCTTCTAGTAAAAGGTTATTTTCTGTAGCCAATCTCTTACTAGAGGAAAGGCATACACAATTGAAATAAAAAAAGATGGACATTCTTCCTTTTCCAAATAAATTTCGATTTATAGTTTGTATTTATTTTTTGTTATTAATATGATGAAATTAGAGAAATAAATAGAATGAATTCAAAAAAGGGTAAAATTATAGCAATAGTTTTGAAAAATTTAAAAACACCGTGAATTTTCGGGCGTGAATCAAAATATTGCTTGTCGTGAGCGGGCGGGTCGGGTCGAAAATTTTTTAGTGTTAAAGAGTGAATGGGCGTGATATTTTTTATTACCACCGTGAGCGGGTGGGCCGTGAATGAAAAATTAGGCCCGCGCCCACCTCTAATGCATACCACTTATTAAGCTTTAAAAAAATTATATTAATAGGTTATACCATTTTTTGTGGTATGTGGAATCAAATATGAGGTGCGCAATAAGAGGGTTAATTTTAAAAGATCATAAATATCACAGGTAAATTAAAAATTATGAAAATATAACCTATTTGCTTTTAGTTAACCTAATATTTTGAATGTAGGGCTGTGCCGACCACAAATTTTTCTCCGATCCGATATTTTCCCGATACTACTAAAAACCGACCCGATTCCAATATTTATTTTTATTTACCATCTATCAATGAACCAGTCATAAAAATATCAATATATCCATTTTAAAAAAACAACTAACTTTCATGGAATTGTCTGGTCCTTTAGGGTAAAAAAATGATTTTAATTTTATTTATTAGAGATGCATCGAAATGAATACTCGTATCTGCCAATACTTTCAATTTTAACCGATACTCGAAAATGATAATCAACCCCTAATAAATTATTTAACAAAAAACCATTATTTTATAGACATCATAATTTTTTTTTTAAATCGTATTTTTTGTAAAAACGTCAATTTAGACATTTTTGACAACATAATATCTCAGGACCGCTATAATTTTGGATTCTATGTCTGCTAATGATGTTCTCTCAATACGCATAATTGTATCAAAATTAAAATGGCCGTGTTGTAAAGTTATCGATTATAAAATTGTATTATTAAAAGGGCATTTATTGTAAATATGGTATTTTCATTAAAATTAAACCTGAATCCGATCTGATACACCGGTTGAATCCATACGGGAGGCCATATTAACGGCGTCACCCCATATGTCATAGTAGAGTTTGGTAGTACCTATCACACCTGCCGTCACGTCACCCACATTGTAACCTATCCGCAGTATGAAATTGAACTCTAAGAGATCCCTGTTAAAATTTTTGACTACCTCCTGCATATCGAATGCAAAATCCATTAGTGAAACCAAGTGGGAGATATCACGGTCTTTCTTGAGTTTAGCGGGAGTTTGAGCTATAAGTTCTGCTTTATCCGAGTTAACATCAACAGAGGCTGCTGGGTTAAAATCCTTAATAGTACTCTCCTCGATTTTATCATCTTGATCAATTCCATCGCGGTTAGAAAAAGTGGAGGACAAAGAGGTTGACGCGTCATTGAGACCAGATGCCGCCATAAAAGTGCTACCTGTGTGCAGGATGGGAGATATTTTAGAAGTAAGTTTTTGACAGTGTTTTTAGTTCGTGAAAATATATTAATTGACGTTTTGTTAATTACAATTGTTACGATAGTATTCGTCTATTATAAAATAAGATATTTACATTTCACATTATTATTTATATTTATTTAAGAGAAAAGAAGGAAAAAAGAGAAATATTTATATCTGTGAGGAAAATGAAGCATAATTAGATTCGGATGTATAAATATGCTTTAATAGGAATTTGTCTTTCCATGCTTAAAAAAATTTCCGAACTTGTGGCCCAACCTGTAAAAATATTTTATGCAAGTTGTTCCGCCTGGCCCTGCTCAAATTTTTTTTTTTACCATTAATGTAAACAAGCTGAACAAACAAAAATAGACTTTGAATATAATTATGACAAATTCTTGTGTGGGAACGTGTTTAATATTTTAATGTTAGTTTATTCATTATCATTTGTCATTTTTAGGCACCACCAGTGTTGGTAAATAGTCATATACTGTAAAGTTATTTATATTGGTTTATAAATAATAAGATTTAATTTGGGTCATGGCCTGAAGTCGAATAGTGTATATTAGATATGGGCGAAAACTTGATGTTGGGTAGGGGTTTGCTCCAAAAGTATATTGCTAAATTGTACAATTTTTAAATTCGTTTTAACTCATATAATTAGTATCAACGAAACACATATATGTGAATAAGGGTTAGGGTTATATTTTAAAAAAAATATATGTGTCGCCTAAGATAATTTTTCCGGGTGGGCCATTTACCGACATCATTTGTCCTCAGTTATGAGGCATTCATTGTTATCACACATTAAAATATCTCTCAACAAATCACGTACATACATGATAAATCATTATAAAAATGACTTGTAGATAAATAATCTAATTAAATTCCCCTTTGGTAATAAAATGCTCAATAATTATTTGGTATAGTATTAAATGCAAAGGGTTCCGAAACAAAAAATGGTTAGAGTTTAGAAAAGGTGGCAACTGAAATGAAACAGGTTGAGGTTCATTATTAATTCAAAAGGAGAATTGGAATAAGAAAATAAAGCAAATAAATTGGTTAGTGGGCTTCTTGGAGCTTTCGATCTGCCCGTTGTGACTAGATACTTACTTCGTTCAAGATTTTTAAAAAAAGGAATACCGATGGTTTTGATTTTCTCTATCTCCCGGTACTGGGGCTTGTCCAACAACTCATCGAAATCGCCGATGACTTCGTTGAGGACGCGCAAGCACTCCTTGCCCCCCTCGAAACTTTCGTCATATAGCTCGTTGAAATTGACTATGGTGGCGAATATGATGCCGACCTGCTTGTGGTTCCGAGAGTATTTTGAGGTCTTTTTGAGCTGCTCGACCACGTGTTTGGGGATTATGTTATGAAGTAACCTGGCGTTAAATGGAGGGAAGAGATAAAAAAATACACTATTTTTCAAAAAATAAATCTTCATTCATTCATAAATTTTTGACTTATTCATAATCATGTCGATGTTAAATCATAGGTTACATTATGTTAAGAAAATTTTTAGTTATATATTATATCTGCCAAAATAGGATGGCTTTTTCGTTTACATTTTAGTAGCTTTATTTTTGACGGATAAGTTTTGGCAGATAAGATATATATACTAAATATTTTTTTTACAGGGCATAATACAAAAAAATCGATTAAATTAAGAAACAAAATTTTACGATGATTTGATTTGTGTATAGCCAAAAAATTAATAGTATTTTTTTATCGGCTCAAGGTTTCAAATTCTCTCAATGAGCCTAATAATTTCAATTATCATTGATAACTTGAGCAGATTGAATTCTATCAAAACTAGTTCCTGGCTAGAGCCCTACGTGGGCTAGATAGGGTAACTTAACTTGGAATGATACTATGCAGTTGTCTCATTGAAAATTCAGGAGGTAACCTGTGGTTAATATATTAGTGTTCAGATTTCATAAATCGATTTGAATAGTACATTTTTCTTAAAAATGTCAACGTTTAAAACTGGATGTCCTTCAAGCTAAAAAAAAATTACCATATAGTGTTCGTCTGTGTAATATTTTATATTTTGTTTAAATTTTATCTGCTTTTATATATTTAGAGAGGTAATATTTAATCAGCATTATAATTTCTGCTAACAATTATCCAAAAAATGGGCAGTGGAGAGATCAAGACCCAAGAAAAGGAAGGGATTCAGGGACAATGTCGAAAGTTAAAAAAAAAATTTATTGTGCATTGCTGAATATTTAAAAAGTATGAATATTTAAAAAGTATATATATATATCCTTCATATAAACATAAGATAACATTATTTATAAAGGGCATTTCAAATACAATTAGAAAAAAAGAGCAATATGAACATTATTTTTTGGGATGATAAATACAATGGATAAATTCAAAATAGGATGACAAAAATACAATCTCCGAAGGCTTCCATCATTATTGGTTATATGATAAAGAACAGTAAAGTTTACAGATAAGATGATCGTTCTTATAAATAATATAAATTCTGTTAAATTATTTTTTTGGTATATATATATCATATTTTTTTTAAAATTGAAACCATTTATTAAATAAAATTAATCACAATAAAATATAAAAAGTGGTATAAACTAAAAAGCATTAAAAGAAGCTATATATGAAAAAAAAATCTGCGAGCCAATATAATTTAAAGAAAAGCATAATTGTATTCCTAAAAAGGTACAATAGTTAAATTTAAAATGGTTTATTTGTATGTTTTGTCAAAGGCCTCTTTTATAGTAAACGAGGTTTGTTTAAGTGGTACGGTATTTAAACTGCGTTATTTACAAAATCAAGCCAATAAATAGGTAAATTTATAAATATGGAGCAAAATGATGAAAAGCTAATGATAAAATTTGAAAAACATGTTAAAACGTATATTTTAAAAATTATACGGTGAACAAATCGCGTTTCCTATAAATGAGGCGTAAGGAATAAGTGTATATAACTGCCAAATAAATTAATATATGGTTATAAGAGTATGAGAATTTGTAAGATCATCCAACTTATAGTTGAAATTAAAATATATAATTGAAATAACAGGGATACTTAATGGTATTTTTTTGTACAACGATGATGTACAATTTCATAGGCAAAAAATGGTCAGATAATTTAGGCATTGGGCATCATAAAATAAAAAAAATAATTGAAACCATTCGGCTTGGTTCTTGTGTACGAGTATGATCTCTTTGTCCCTCTGGGCGCGATCACGTCCTTTGAAATTGAGGCGGTAATTCATCTCAAATTCACGGTTCAGCAAAATAACGAGAAGCAAGATGAGCACAATGCTTATGATCATCTCAATGCAGAGGTGAGATAAGGCTCCTGCGCTAATGGCCTTATTGTCAACGATTCCCCCCTCTGTGATGTAGAATGTATTGGAGGAAACGTTAGCGGACATTAATGACAAGGTGTTGTTATGGCTGGACAAGATGCGCATAAGATTTTTAAGAGGGCCAGCGAGACGCGAATCGGAGATGTTGTAGACAGGAGTCGAACTGAAGCCACCGAGAATATTGTTAAAACGGCGATCGGGGTGCGATATGTAATAGTAAAGTTGAGTTGGAAGGAGGCGAGATGGCATCATAGGATCATTCAGCAGGGCTGAAAGTTTGATAGGAGGGGGTGTAACACAGAATTCTAGCCCTATAAAACAGGTAACAACACCAGCAACGACAGCCGACAGGAGGGCCTTAAGCCAAGACAGAAGTTGAACCAAGTTGATGAGGTGCAAGAGAGCCAGGGCAAGCAAGAAGTCATAGAACTGTGCTTCAGCTGGTTCGAGAAACGGTGAGTTTCGGAAGTAGGCTATAAGAAGTGAGGCGGCCGGCAAAGATGCAATTACGAGTCCAAAAACTTGACGAACCCACCAGCGATTGAAAATATCACGCGATCGAGCTAAACCTCTTTCCCACCGCTGCGGAGGCATTCCATCCGTTTCCCGTTTCCAAATATTGGTAGCAGCCGCGACGCATCGAGAGGCGGGTAGCTCTTCACTGCCCACGTATAGAATAACGCCAATTTCAAAGGTAAGGGCGATTCCCCAGAATGCCAGGGTGGTTGGATCAGTGGGCCGATCCAGTAGCACAAAGCAGGCTAAACATATCATGGCCAGCACCACAAACGATACACACACCTCGGTAAAGAGTGTAAAGTTTGGCGAGGCAAACGTTGTCCAAGACGCCCTACTCGCCGATCCCGTCGAGACGGATGAGTCCACAGAATCCTCGCGTAATTCTTGAGAGCCTTCTCCTACGGTGGCGGACTGATTTTGAAAGGGTTGATTATGTAGTGGATCTGTTAGGAGTGGAGTTTGATTAGAGACGTTGATCACGTGGAGTGTAGTATTAGCGTTGGGACTTGATTGTTTAAAAAAAATTACTCTTATGATTTATGAAAAAGTATTAATTAGAATAATTGTGAGATGAAGCCAAAATCACATAGATTTAAGTATAAATTAATTATCCGCAAATGTAACTCACCCTTCGCCAATCTTGTTGGATCTAAACGTAAGACCGCCGGTCTGGATTGGTATGTTTTTGTCCTTAGGAAGCTGAGATGGAGACAAAAGATCGGTCTCGCCAATTTTGTAAGGGGCGGTCGTGTACAGGTGATGGCGATAGGCATACTCGAGGTCAGGATCCTTGAAGGTAAGGCAGCAAAGGTTTATGGGAGGATTGGAAAAATAGTTTTTCTTGTTGTTGGTCATGTCCTCCTTGATGCAATTGACCAAGTCGATGTCATATTTGCGTTGTTTTTGTATAAAACTAATAGTATAAAATAATGGAAAATGTAACTTATATGTGTAGCTATTCAAAAGGTGGGACCGACCGGAACCAACTGTTATAATCATAGGAACAATAACCTGAACTGAAAGGGCTTCAAAAAAAATCCCAAATCGAAGCGAATATCGATTCAGATCTGATAAAAATAACAGTGCCGGTTAGCGTTTTAAATAAATCCTGTTTTAAATAAATTAAAATCTAGTGATATTGACATTTATGACTGACTTGAGAGTTCGTTTAAATCAGATTTTTCAATTATAGTGAAGAGTGTGTTAAGATCAAATTTTTTACGATGTAAATTCCATTTATTATATATATTTTTGTAATACAATAGTTGATTTTGATACAAAAATTATACTTCTTTTCTCCAATCAAATGACGAAAGATAAATCGAATTTATAAATCTTGTTTAGTATATTTCTATTTATTTTAATAAAATTCATTGAGATACAGGATTATATCCTTTATCAGGAATATCCATCATCAATGTCAAAAGGCTTAGGACAGTACAGGCCTCAAGATATAAAATTCGCAATGGTAAAATGTTTCACCATTCTCATAATGGTGAAGTCATTTTGGACCATGACCAAAGAATTCAACTTCTTAAAATAATTCACAGAGGATGTAATACTAATGTGTGAGCAATATCTTTTGCTGCCCATTTTGGTATCACCAAGACTCACAGCAAATTGGCTGATAGTTAGAGATATTGCTGACACATTAGTATCACATTCACTGTGAACTATTTTAAGAAATTGAATTCTTCGGTCAAGGTCCAAATGACCTCACCATTATGAGAACGGTGAAACATTTTACCATTGCGAATTTATATTTTGAGGCCTGTACTCGCAGATTATATCTTAAGCCTTTTCGTAAGACATCGATGATGGTTATTTCTGATAAAGGATATAATCCTGTATTTTATAAATTTTATTATAATGAATAGAAATATACTAAACAAAATTTATAAACTTGATTTATCGTCTTTCGTCATTTGATTGGGGAAAAGAAGGATAATTTTTGTATCAAAATCAACGATTGAAATGTATAACAAAAATATGTATATAATAAATAGAATCTACTTTGTAAAAAAAATATTTTAAAATTATTTACATTAATTTTGAAAAATAAAAAAAATTGATCTTAACACTCATTATAATTGAAAAATTTGATTTAAATGAACTCTCAAGTCAGTCATAAATGTCAATACTAAAAATGTTCAATAAATTAGAATTTATTAAAACAGGGTTCAGTTAAAACGTTACATCGGATTCAGGTTCGGTAAGTAAAAAGTGATAATAACGGTAAGGTTAGAATCTCTAAAAAGCAATTTGAACTCTTTTAAAAACAAACTTATATTATGAGAATGTATAAATAATCACATTTTTTTACGAAAAACATCTTTCTAAGCTAACTTGAGTAGCTGGCACTGCCAATATAACATCAGACAATTTATAATTCGGGGTATCGATTACTCGATTTTGCCAAAAGTCTAAGATATTTATTATTTAAAATGCCCCTTCAAGAGCCTGTTGGCTTAATGTCCTCTTAATATTTTTTTAGATCTCTTCTGGTTTTGTTATGATATTTTGATTTTAGCAAGTTTTAAAAAATGATTTCTTTTGATGTGACGCTCAGGATTTGAACCGATAACCTTTCATAATTATATCACAATCTGTAGCTTTACATATGGATGTTTCATTTATAATACTCTATATTTCAATTTATAAATCAAGAGCATAAAAATCCCTGATTGCTTAATTGTCATTATACTTTTATTTTAACAAATGATGAAACGAGCGTGCCTTTGGGCTTTTAGTGCTTTACCATGAGTATACATAAAATCCAAAACAGAAATTAACCAAATTTTTTCTTGCAAAATATAAATTAATTCTAAATGTTAAATAATTGCATAATTACATCGTGATCTCGTATTTAAAATGCAAGAAATTTTTTTTAAATGCTCTCCAGCACACAAATTATAAAAATGGATATTAACACTGTAATTCTTAGCCGAAGATATATTCAACCCCGGAAAGTAATAACCGTTATAGGTTTTAACAACTAAAGTTTAACGAGTCCCTGGTTTAAATAAAATAAACGACGAATAATAACAGTATTCGTATAAATGGAATCAAGTCATAGAAAATATAAACCCTCAATTTGGGCAAAATTAAAGGGAAGGATAAAGAAATATTTTTTTTAATCGTGAAGGGGTGTTACCAGTTTTAAAAGAAGAAAAATGTATATACTTAACATCCTTAGCTAGGGAAGAGGGTAAACGTTTCCCAGACCGGACGGGTAACCGTTCGTCATCGAATAGGTAGTTAGTATTATTTATATCATAGCGTTCCGCCACCAGATCGGTTATGGAGGAACGACTAGAGTACATACCCGCACTGATTTGCCGGGCTAAATTTGGTCGCTTAGCGTGTTGGTCGTCGGGCTTGATAAGAAAATAATGAAAAAATTACTTGTATAAAATGAGTATATAACCAGTATTCAAGGCGTCAATGTAAATCCAGCATGGGTTAACTACTCTGCTTTTTAAATATTATATATTAACTTTCTTTCTTTTAAAAGTTAAGTTCAAATCAGATTTTCTCAAATTTAAAAAATTGCCCTCGGTAAAAAGGTTATAAATGGAGTCGAATCATCGCGGATTCCATATCCCAAAGCGGCATACACATTTTCGCTAGAAATAAAAGAATAGGAACGTGAAATAAATAATTCCCATTTTTTACTGAATTATATAAGTTTTTTTTAAATCGTAGTCAATTTATTAAATATTGTTTAATTTAAGGTAATCTGACAACATAAGAACATTATATAAATAGAAAATTTATAACATAATGATGATAATATCTTTATTAATTAAATCAATTCTTATCCAGAAAATAGGAAACTGATGTGGTTAGATCGAATTATATTAATTGTCATCTTTGTCTAGGGTAGAAGCCTTCATATGTATTATCGGTCTTCGATGTAATGTGATGCTCTGGATCCTTGAAGAAGGCTAGGGCGTGAATGGCAAAATATATTAGCGTTGTAACAATTATTGGTATGTGTTATATATTAAATTGTTTATTTCATTAATTTTGAAAATTTTTTGAAAAATGTTTATTTTTATTATTTTGGATTTTTTATTGTGAATGTGAATACTCAAGAAAAATTCAATTTTATCAAATAATACAATAAAAGATATACTTCAAGAATGGGGCAGTCGATAAAATGTCTAACGGATTTAAACCTGTGTTACAAAATTTGGTAACATATTTAAAGAATTTAAAAACACACAACCAAGTTTAAATTCATCATAAGATAAATCACTGTTATTAACAACAATAGGATGCGATACTTAGAAAATACTGGTAAATTTATGTGCACCTGATAGTCCGGGAAACAAAGACATTATTTTTAATCAAATTGTTTCACCCTAAACCGAGATATAATTTTATCAAAAAAATTAGTAGACTATATACAAAATTTTCGAAAATTATCAACTACTTGTGAATTTGGATGAATACTGCTTTAAGAAATAAATTCATATTTGGACTAAAAATCGTAAAATATTACAGATTATCCGAGGATGATTTAGATATAAATAAGGCTATTCAAATAGCTAATGCAGTAGAAACAGCTATAAAGTACACAAAATTAATACAAAAAGATGAAACTACATTTGATCAGATGAACATGATATTATAAATATAATTAAAAAAGTTAATATTGATAATGATAACCAATCAAAACGATATAATAATTATAATTGAGCTACAAAGAACCATATCCCCACTCCTGCGACGGAAACTGATATGAATTGAATTGTTATTTTTTGTAAAATGTTTATTTTCATTAATATATTATCATATGAATTTGAATATATTATCATATGAATTTGAATATATTATCATATGAATTTGAATATATTATCATATGAATTTGAATATATTATTTGTGATATGAAATAAAAGAAAAAGAATTGCAAGAATTATTAATTGACTTATATTTATTGATTTAAAAATTAATGCTAAATAAAGTATTCCCAATAATGCCTTGAATTCTGTTACATCAATTTCTTTAGTTGAACTTTCATATTGGTACAAATTTTAATTTTTTCATTGGTATGATTAATAATCTCTTCAACCTTTTTGGTGTTATGAACAAGTCAAAACATTTTTCTGGAGTGTCTGTTTCTTTCCCTTTTACTCCTGGCAGATGAATAATTAAATTTGTTGCCGAGTTTTTATTCTTTGATTAGGAAAATCCTTTTTCCATTTAGTAACCTTATTTTTAGTTAATTTTAAAGATTATTATACTATGGTAAATGATCACATGTTTACCAAAATAATTTAAATCTATTGTCTGTTTCAACTAATATATCTTATCATCTAATTCAGATTGTGTATCATGATCACTATCATATATAAAATCTTTATCCTCACTGTTAATTACATTGTCATAATCACCTCTAATAAAATTGTCAAGATAAGCAAGGATTGATTTGAAAGAATTACTAATGTTCTGAAGGTTTACTTTATTTACTGTTTCTTAAGTTTTTTTAAATTTTAAAGATTTTTTCTTTCCGCTGCTAATGTATGCTAATGTATCAATAATCTTGAATTTCAGGAAAGATGGTAACTTAGATTTTATATAATTTAAATATACTGAAGGTTTAATTGATTTATTGTTTCTTAAGTTTTTTTTAAATTTAAAGATTTTTTCTTTCAGCTGCTAATGTCTCAATGATCTTGAATTTCAAGAAGGAGGGTAAACTTAGATTTTATATAATTCAAATATATTCAAAGATCAACTTGAAAATTTGATGGAGAAAGAGGTGGTGATAGACAAAGCCAAACCTCAACTAGTTCTAGATATACGTCTATCTAATCAACTGATCAAGTTGAATCTGTTAATGCAAGGCAAAAAAATTCTTTAATACGGAATCATTATATTTATGATTCTAAAAAGAAACTTCCAAATGTAAAATAAGTAAGGTAGATATAATGTGTAAGAAAAAAAACCACCTCTGCACTAATTAATCACAATAAAAGATTTTATCAAAAGATTCAAAATAATACACTAGAAAATTATTTTAATAATTTAACCAAAACAAATATTGATGATATTAACAATATTTATTAAAATTTTTCCCAAGTCAAATATACCATTTAAAATTCTTGCCACAAATGAATTTAAATCATTTGTTATAGCATTAAATCCTAACGCCAAAAATTGATCAATACCCACAATTAAACTATATATGAATGAAATTTATGATAAACAATTCAACAAAGTTAAAATAATCATAAATGATTTAAAGTGCCAAATCAACTTTATCACCGACATATGCCTACTAATGTACCATTTTTAGAGTTGACCTGCCACTTTATAGATGAAAAATATGAGATGAAGTAACTGTTATTAGATATAGTACCATTTACTGATTCACATTCTGGTGAAATATATATGGAGAGTTTTATCAAATTATAATATCGATATAAGTAAGCAATTACTTGTGATAATGCAAACTCGAATTCAACTTTCATAAAAATTATTCGTATAAAACATCCAACTTGTACAATTTTACATGTACGATGTTTTGCACACGTATTCAATTTAGTAGTACTTATCAAAATTAAGAACAATCATTAAGGCTATTCATAAATCTTTTATAAAGACAAATATTATGAAAAATGTATGCTCTTCCTTACTTCCCCCGATGAAATATAAAATTAAAATTAGACACATCCATAAGATGTTAGAGCTCTTATATAATGGTCGAAAGAGCTATTAAAATGAGATCGGCCTTTGACGAAGTTCTGACTTAGATATCTGATATCGAAGAAAGACAACTGAGTAAAGTAAATTTACTAATTAATATTTTTTACTAGGATGATTTGACGACTTTAATAAATATACATAAAAAATTAAAGACCTTTTTTGATTTTAGAGAACATATCTGATGACACATACCTACCTTAAATCTTGTCATCCCTTTTGATGTTTCTTTAACGGAACATTTAAATTCATTTGACAGCGATTTCATAAACACTATCAGTGCTATTGACAAAATAGAAAATTATTATAACCTAACAAATATTGAAACCATAATATAAAGCATATTAGATCCTAGACTAAAAGTGCATTGATCAATTACTTGCGTCATATAACATAGATACAAAAAATCTATTACAAAAATTTAAGGGTAATATAATGGGTACAAAGTAAAATATAATATCGATACAACAGTTAACCCAATAGTACTATCAAATATGGATAGAATTTTTATCCAAAATATCACCTCATATGCGAGGTTGAAACATATCTTAATGAATTAAGAATCACTTCAAATAAGAGCCCGCTAAAATTGGGGATTTCATAGAGATCGTTTTCCCGTGTTGTCGAAAATGGCAACTGATATATTGTCCATTCAGAGATATTCGGCTTCATGTGAGCGGTTATTCTAAATTGAGACAAATATGATCATGAATAATAGAATTTTTTTGAAGGAAGAAACCATTAGAAAGACTTTATGCTTGAAAAACTGGTTATTGTCAAATTCGGATCTTGCATAATTATATTTTTTCTATATTATATTTTTCCTATATTATAATTTGCTGTTTATAAAATGAGATCATTGTACATTTATAGAAAATTTGAATATTAGATTGAAGAAATAATTTCTATATTTTTATAAGCAATTCTAATTCTAAAAATCGGGTGTTCTTAGCCAATTTGTTTGTATAACGTTATATGAAATCATTGGGTTTTATTTCGTTTATTTTCTGTAAATTTTGATATGCCAATGACAATTAGTTTGGGAATTCAAAGTCTAATCTGTTTTTTGTAAAAAATAATTTAATCTTTATAAGCTTTAGAAAAATTTCCAAATCGAATAATAATTCAGGCCAACCCTAAAAATGGTACATAATAGAGCTTGACCATATGTCGGTGGTAAAGTTGATTTAGCACTTTAAAACATTTAAAATTATTTTAACTTTATTGAATTCTTTATTAATTTCATTCCTATACAGTTTAATTGAGGGTATTGAACAATTTTTTAAGATAGGAATGATTTAAATTCATTTGTGGCAAGAATTTTAAGTGGTATATTTGACTGAGCAAAAATTTTAATAAATAATGTTTAACATCATCAATATTTGTTCTGGTTAAATTATTAAAATAGTTTTCTATTGTATTGTTATTTTGAGTCTTTTGATGAAATCTTCTATTGTGATTAATTTTGCAGAGGTGGTTTTTTCTTACACATCATTTCTACCTTACTTATTTTACATTTGTCAATTTCTTTTTAAAATCATGAAGATAATGATTCCATATTAAAGAATTTTATCGCCTTGCATTAACAGGTTCAGTTTGATCAGATATTGATTAGATAGACGTAGATCTAGAATTAGTTGAGGATTGGCTTTGTCCATCACTACC